GCCCGTTGTGCTACTTTTCGTGTTCGAATGCGGTTCTCCGTTTTCTATGTCGCCCCGCAACAAACCTACAAATGGTTWGAAACAACCAATATAATTTCCTCAACATAAAGAAATATGTAAAAAATTATTTTGGATGAATAAACTGAAAAGTGGATAGTATAATCACGCTCGATCTAATATTCACAAATAAAATATTAAAACATACTTTGCGTACAATTTATATTTTATAAATTGTTATATCTACCTATATAATATTAATTTTTAGTCTATAAACACCCTGTTTAAATATTAAAACAATATTTTTTTTAAATTATGTTGTTAAATTTGTATTTTACTCACATATTATAATAAACTTATTATGGTAAATTTTAAACAGAAATAGAAAAACAATTAAAACATTTTTTTTTTCATAAATTACTGTGTTTAATAACATAAGCATAGTACCTACTATAAATGTATCTTAAGTTTATGTGCAAACAAATAAAATGTACATGYTATTATTATTAATTATTTTATTTTTATATCCTTTTGAATCCTCTTATGTATAGTTATATCGCGTTAAATAATTCTTCCCGTAACGTATTGGTCTTACAACATCACTACATGTAATGCAATGCGACTATAAATCCCTTAGAATTATAACAGGATGTTTTCGTCCATAATCCAACCACTAATTTTTTGTGGGTTATTTTAACACAAATGAAGTGCAAAACTAGTGCAAAAGAAATTTGGTATAAAATGTTGCAAACATTAACTATAGTTACTAGTTAGGTACATAATGTATTCATTTAAACAATTGTTTAAATTTCATATGTTATTGGTATAGAAATTTGCAAAAATTTTCATTTAAAAAAAAAAAAGCTTCTTAATAAAAATAATTAATTCTCATTAAATGATTTTCCATTCAGGGTCAACACTTCAACACCTATAGTTTCAACGCCTTTAGAATATATTATATACCAAGTGTTTTAATGGCTTTAAAATTCTGTTTTCTCTCTGAATTACAAGCGAATGTTCGTCTTCATTAAAATCAAATCTATTTTTCTTAATTAGATAAAAAAAAATATTTGTCCTGGGTGATTTGAGGAAGTATATTTTTTATATTATGATTTATTCATATTATTTTCTTCATTCCAATAATTATAGTTAATCAAATTAAATTTGACGCCAAAAAATATAGGAACCTACTTATAATATTTATTTATTTACTCGAAAGCTTTTGTTATAGTCTATAACTTATAGGTATTGAATAATAAATATATTTTATTAATATTTATATAGGTACCTACTATTATTTTTTGAATCGCATTGATAAGTAATTTGAAATTATTTTATACATTTTGTATAAATTCTTATTACAATCCCTGGAAATATAGAAGAATATTTATGAATAAATTGTGTGATTGGTAACAGAAACACAGTTCATCACTTTACGACACTTTATGACACAAAAATAAAACTAACTCCCCTCTTTATCTGACTTGCGGAAAGGAAAGGTTTAAATTCTGAAATTGATGAATTTATGGGCGCGTCGAGGCAAATATGTGGCTTTTGCGAAAGGGGTCCGTTTATAAATCACCACATTGACAAGGATACGTAGAATGCCGGCGTGGTATTTAGCCCATTAACGCACATTCTCTCCACTCAGCTCGGAAATAAATGTATCTCGTCGATAAAACCGAAAGGATGAGTAAAATAAAGATATATTTCCTTAAACTGTTAAACTTAAATACTAATACAGATAACGCTTAGTATAACGAAGGGTTCCCAATAATTGGTTTAAATTTATTGTTAATATTACAGCTAATACAAATATTAATACTCGTTAACTTATCTATTTTAAATATTTTAATTTTTGTGTATGATTTATGTACGATATACTAACATAGATATAGCGTAACGGTTTATATACAGGCTATATATATATACCTGTATATAGATATACCAAAAATATGATATATTTTGATCGTTTGATTACATTTATTGTAAGCACATAATGACACATGATAAATTATATAATAGTATAGTATAATTTTGATTCAAGYTACCAAGATGAATTCATACACAAGTCCAATTAAAATTCCTGACCCTTGGGTCGTAATATACATTTTCTTTTATGTGACATATTTTATAATTTATTATTTCATGATAGAAACTATGATTTTACAATGTTCTGACAACCTAACCATATTTCAAAGTATTTAATTTGGGCTTATTCTATTCAATGCTATTTTACAACAAATGAAAAAATTATGTTTGCGTAATATTGTGTTCTTAAAACTAGTCGTGCTAAACCGAAAATGAATTGCCTATTGTTTTCGACAATTCTTAGTGTCTGCATGTGCATGCGGTGTTAAGTGGGCATTAATGCACCTGTCACATTCAAATCTGCATGACAACAGGACGCATCTTACGTATTCATCCCTCACCAAAAACTAACAAACAGAAAAAACTTGTAAATAAGTGAATACCATTGTAGGGGTCAGTAGACGAATAGTGTTACGAATGCAAGTTTGTTTGACTAATTATGTAGTCTGTTTAAATTACAAGTATTTGACAAACGAAATAGCTACCAAAATATAGGAGTTGAAATAGAATAATGAATCAAAGTGTGGGGTTTTCTCGGGTGTGTGTGYTTAAAGAAATATATACCTTGGAATTCGAAGACCTGCTGTCAACCCACCGAGACTTGTCCGCTGTCAGCTGCACTTAAGCTAGACAAATTGCTGTCTTATCACGACACATCCAAGTTTTTATTTGTTTTGAATACACGGATCTAGGTTATCGGATGTAAGATAAAATAAAAATCTAAGTTTAAACATTTATAGGTTATATCTACGGTATATCAGATTTTATTTTCGTGAAAACTCGTCTTTAACATTTTTTTTTTTAAACTAATTAATGTTCAACTAAATCACAACTTGTGATCGGTTTAATTAAAATCTTATTCTGTGTTTTTACATATATAGTTTAAATACTTAATTTAAGAATTGTTTTTAAAAACATCATTACTTTATAAATTTTATAAATTTGTGTTATATTGTATCTAGTTTATAGTAGTATACTATAGTATCGCGCGTAGGAAACTATTCTTAAAATTAAAACAATATCAGAATTGGTAATGGTATTTTAAAATATGACTGTACATAATATACTTTCTAATTCTGGTCTAGTAACGTTGAATTCTATTTTGCTTATACTCACATCGTATAAATGCATCTGCTGTTGGTTCTGCGGACGTTGAGCAATGGAAATCTGTGGGAAAAATCCAAATCCCTACGGGAAAAAAAGCAAAGGGAGAGGGAGTATAAAACCCATAAATGGATTACAGCGCTTAGAGCGTGCTTTGCACCAAACCAATAATCGAATAAAGATGTATCGTGGTCGGGGTGTCGATACTCTCAGGGTATCCAAAAGGGATGGCTAACCCCTGTCAAATATTCCATTAAACGCTTATAGGGTAGCACACGTCATACTTAAAATGATTCCCATAAATGACGAAAACTACAAACTTGACGGTATTCTATAAACGGCATATGACCATAATACGAAAGTACCTAAGTACAGGTTTTTAAGATCCGGACTATGTTTGTGCAAATACTATAAAATATAATATACGTTTTTTATTTCTTCTGTTTTGTAATTATATTCATTATCGTGTGAACTGATAACGATTTAATAGAACGTGAGAATGAGTACTTTTCTGTTTCGGACTTGATATCTATAAAAAAAAACCGTTGTTACGGGACCATGTGTGGTAATTTTGAAAGTCGCCGCATGATATGCCGCTGATGTCCCCTTCTGCACTTGTTTAATTTTTAACAAGTGCTCGTCATTAGACCTCCGGTCGCCCCGTGTTTTTTGATGCGTGTCGTGGGAAGCGTGTATATACACCCTCGAGCGTATATACTCGCGAGGTCCATCTGGCCGCAAATTTCGCCCATCCCCCATGGTTTTGAACTGATTTGAATGTGTTTTTATTACGCGCGCACGCATTATGTCGTTTTTTTAGGTTTGGTATTTTATTTTTTTTATTACGCTGCCAATTCAATTTGATCACCGAGAAGTTTGTCATCAAATTTGAATTATAGGCTAGGGGGTTATTCAAAAAGGGTTCAGTACCCTTTGAAACTTGATTCCTTAAAAATAACTTTTTGTTTTTGCATGAGTATAAATTACATTTGTGTATCCTCCTTAGATAACTATGATTAATTTGCATTATTTATACATGCAAAATAATCATAAATTATTGATACTATTTTTTTTCTCATAAAAACCTATAATAAATTGTGTAGATACTTGTTTGTATTCAAGTAATATATAATATGTTAGTAACAATTTAAATTAAAATCAATTTTTTTTTTAATTACCTGCTAAATTTACTTGATATCATATTTATCCTAATAATTTTTATATTATATGCTTTAATAGTTAACTAAATAAAGCGAGACTTCAATCCGTTGCATAACAACGATTCTAAGTATTAGTCCTCATTTTTCTTTTATGAAAAATATAAATAGTACGTCCACTCAAAAGCTTTTAACTTGTTATTAAAGAAGGMCAGTTRAGTAACGCAACAAGGTGTAATAAGTACTATACTACTATTCCGGAAATAACATGATATTTTCGTTCATTTGTTAGGGGTAAAAGATTTTTACTACGTGTGAAATTCGCCTCGTATATTACAACAATACCTACTGCCAAGGTGCTGGTTTATTTTCAACAAAAAATACAATTGGGCACGCGAACCTTTCTTATCTTTTTTTTACACCTTGTCCACTTTTCTTGTCATTATTTCTGTACATATTTTGGTATGAATGACTAGAAAATAATTATTTTCATACATATTTACAAAGAAAAAATAACACGCGATTTTAAATTCCAAATAGATCGTAATAGTAGATAAAGAACACTATTTATATAAACTTAAATCTCAAATTACCATTGTTTTTTTAGAATTATCCGCGTTATTTATTTGTTGTATTTTTATGTTGTTTCAGGTAAATCCATAAAATTATTTTACAATCTCGTGCAACCGGTGTTGTGAGTATGTAAATTTGAGATAAACGCTGATCTGGTAAGTGGTACACGCAGCAGCGGTCCTATGGCATGCGCAACCGGTTCATCCAGAGCAACGAAAAACTCAAATACCATTATTATTTTTTTTCCTAATAAAACCCGCTTCCACTGTACGAGGAGGTTTACCTATTTAATCGCAACACGCAATTCGTTTAAAATATAAATAAATCGACTTGATAGTTATGATAATATTTCATATACATTGTAATAATAAAATTGTATTATTTAATAAAGCTTCATAAATTAAATAATTTTCTTTTAACTTACATATTTTTTTTCAATACATATTCTCGTTTTTTTATACATTAATACATTGTTAATAATTTACATATAATTATTAAGAAGCCTTGCGATATTGTGAGGTCTTCTCGTTGATTGCGAGTTTTCTGCTTTAAAAAATGAATCGTTTATAAATCATTATAAATTATATTGATAAGTATTAAAAATACTGTTGGTAATACCTATAGGTTAGGTATGAAATAATAATTTAAAATTATTTATCACCTCTTAAATTAGTAATACCCAACTTTTTTCTTAGGTGACCGGAGGTCAGATAGTAAACTGTTGCTTTGATTTGAACTACCAATATTATAATAAAACAAAATATTCAAATTTAAATCAAAGAAAGTTTAAGGGGTAATATTATTCTTAATTTTTATAAATTTTATTTCAATTTGAAAATTAACTGTGGGTGATTTGCCATCTATGACTTCAAAATTAGCATTAATGCAGTCCTAATAACCTACCCTAATTCGTTTATTTATTTTTTATCGAAACGAATTGTTATTTTTAAATTAGTATATGTGTATTCTTTCTTATAATAATCGATTATCAACCTTTTTCGGACATTTTTCTAAGCTTTGTACTACTCTTTTGGTGTCGAAAATTATAAAACCTCTTTTATTATCCTCTCACTCGCTTTCTCCTTTTAGCTCCACCCGTCAATAGCATATACATATATTTAAAACTTGCTAAACCCATTAAAATATTAATTATTTTAAATGTAATTTAAATAATATGTATATGTATTTACCCAGAACTTGGGATATATTATTTCTCCAAGTACCTATGTGTGTTTCCATCATACAGTATTTATTATATTGTTTACACCAAAAACTATYCACGTACTCCGTACTTTAAACATTTGCCCATTAATAAGACCTGATTTTTGGCAAAAAAAACTTSTATAATAAGTGCACGAGTTTTAGTCGTTATTTTGATAATTTAAAATTAATATAATATCATAATAATTATAAGTTATCTTTGCGGTGGGAACCTAAAGGTATAATAATGTACAAATAATACGTATTATAGACGTTAGTTATTTTAAAGTTAAAGAAGTTAATATTATATAAGTATAATCAATATGGGTAATCTTTTGATACCTATTTAATTGACGTAATGAAATAAATAATAATTGTATGTAATTAATCAATATTTTTAAAGTGCTGATGTGGTAAACTGATTAACACAAGTTAAATCAATATTTTTATTTATTATTTACTCGATTAAAGAAACGTGATCAGACTATCAGAGTAAATTTGAGTATATATAATATATATATAAAGTTAACTTCTAGTATAGGTAATTAAAAAACAACAATAGAACCGATAAAAACCATAGAAATCTAAGAATTCTTTAAATCTCAAACCAACATTAATTTATTTATCCCTTGAGGTTTTAYTTGCTATCTAAATGTATAAATAGTATATTTTTTTACATTGATCAGATTATTTTGGTGGTTATCGACTTGGCACGTTCTCTGAATCTAACCTATTATCTGTTATGAAAATAGCCGTTCATTGATCAACAAATCAGGTGGAATGCAAATAAAAAACATTGATTGGAAAATTTTCAATGACTAAATTGCTGAAAGTATAGGTTAAAAMTTAAAATTTTAATTTATTCTACGATTTTAAAAATGTTCTCTTCGATTTAATCAAATCTATTAAATTTTTTGATGTCGTGCTCATAAATTAATATTAACTGTTTTTTCAAAAACATAATTTGTGATTCGCGGACTGTATGACTATATACCGTTTACATAACAAAAAAAATAAAAATGATTTAAGTTAAAACTGCAAAATACAAGCCATTATTATAAACAAAAATTAGAAACTTTTTCAATAATTCGTATAATTATTTTATTTGTAAAATTCGATATGGTTAATTCATAATAAATTATGAGTAAACGTTTATATTATGTACATTTACGTGGATTATCATACTTAAAATTCTATGAAAATATTAGCACATGAGTAACAACAATGATCTATTAAATATCCATCAGTTTTCCATCATATACTTTCTATTATCCACAAATCAGATATCATTCTTATAACGGCTCTGCCTGTCTCATATGTGTTTTGCAAAGTTCATTTTTATCTGTTTTGTACTTGCCTAGTCATGACCATGAGTTTATTTTATCGTYATATATATTTTTTTTTAGTTCGTCTTAAATATTATTTAACAATATTTTAGCCTACTTTCTTAACATATTAAATTATTGTGGTCGGTCCATCGCTATGGCAATGACTCGACAAATATTCTACTAAATGTCTTATCATTTTATTCTGTGTGTACCTACCTAAATATAATATTGCAAAAAATACCGATATCATAAATTAAATATTGTATTTCTATCTTATCTGTATAAAATATATTTATGCTCTGAAAATATACTGCTATATAATATATAGACTTACGTAACATGTACCAATTTGGCATTTTGGTCTTTATTTTCATTTCAAAATCTTTGTTTTAATTTTATATTATTAGCCAAATATTTCATTAAATATTTTGCAGCTTAAACCAATACGCCATGTTATAATGTACTTAAGTACGGATAATCTAATTATATAATGATTCGTATATGATTACATAATTTACCTATTTTAATTCGTCTACAAACTTATTTGCTTACAGTTATAATTTATAAACAAGCCAATTGTTTTTATCTTTAAATAAATCTGCACAATACGAAACTAYAKGCTGATTATGTGAACTTGAAAACGTTATCTTCACMTCGTAGARTTGAACGCAGAGTTCACGCTCGAAAGTGTGTTTTATATAATTTTTGTTGATGATACCATCCAATTCGGACAGTGCCCGGTAGACCATGAAGGCCACAGTTATAAGCAGATGTTTTTGCTGAAAGGAAAACGTACATCGTCATAATCGTTATAGTAATAATTACTACGATTATATAATGCATATACATTCTAAGTGCGTTTCGAACTATAGAACAACGGTGAATAGAATGGAGTGAACGAATTCTATTAGGTCGTGTTTCCCCCTAAAATTTGATTGATGTGAYTAATGAAATAATCCACAAACGAGGTTTATGTTAGTGGTTAGTCATTGAATCGATCGATCAATACAGGTTTCTACAATTCTACGTTAAATTTCTATATTTTTTTTATACAAATATAGAATTGCTAATCTAAAAAAAAATTGGTATAATAATTTGAACTTTTTAGTTTCTATGGCCTTTTAACTAGGTGCGTAATAATAGCTAATTTAATGGAAATATCTTTTAATGRCTATTAATCAATATATTATAAAATTACATAAGTTAATACGAATGGTTTTAAATTTTGATTCTAAAATTTAATTTCCAAGTAGGTTAGGAACCTAGAGATTTATGATAATAATAAAATATATATATTTCTGTGGTAGATATATAAATGAGTAATAACCAAAAACCCTAAGGTCGTACAAAATTTGCCTGTTATTTTATTTTTTTAATATAACAAAGCGTTAACAAAACCAAAATCAAACACATCTGCCACATGAGTAAACACCAATCGCAAAACTCGCTATAGAATATACCCCAACATACGTGCTCGTTTAATTTTGATAAAGGTTTTAAGGGTACCTATACATGCGTTGTTAAATATTTTATTCGTAATTACTATGTCGGGAATGACTTTTGAGATTCTTTTCACCCTTCTTGAGAGTGGGAGGGTTGTGTTTGAGTTATTAATTTTTTTTTATTCACATTCCTCTCCAAAATAAAAACCCACCCACCACCCTTAGGATGCAATTAAGATTCCTGGGTGACTGAGTGAGGCCTGAACAAAAAGGGCGGAATCTCAATTCATGTTGTAAAGAAAAAACTTCAAAACACGAATAGCGGCTAAAGTAGATGTCGAAAAATGAATACCGGTGGTTCAATTTTAATTGTGATTTGTGGCAGCGGCGGGGTTATTTGTAAAGTTTTAATTTCAAACTACTCTAAAAGTCAAGAAGATTATCATTGTTACTGTTTTTACAACCTTTGTTATTATGACCAAGGGCAATATTTAAAAATGTCCCGTTACACTTAATATATTGGAGATAAACCAAAATTATTTTAACAATGATCAAAACTCCCGAAACCTAATACCTTTGAAAATAGTACTTACATAATTTTTCAACTAAATCACATTTTTATGTGTTGTGAAATAATTATACGAATATATATCTAAATATATTATTAGGTATTAAGTTTAATACGATGACTAAAAACTGAAAACTACATTTATGTACGTATTTTTTAATTAAATTACTTAAAGACTCAATGTATATGTTTAACTTTTTAGTTAATAACGTATTAATTTATGTCATTAAAAAATTCTTAATTTAGTATGTATGAGTACTTTTTGCTTTGCTTATATTGATTTAAATATTGAAGTCATATAGAATGAATAACTACGATAATTCAATATGTACCTATATGTGTATTATATTGGTCAAATTTGTATATAAAATGTAAAGAATATTGTACAGACTGACAAAATATTGAAATAGGGTCAACATCTGCTACAATAAATTGGAGTATTACCTATAATGTTTTATTGAATCGCACATCCGGCCTAGTTTTACCTTCTTAAATTGTTGGCCAATTTCTTCTTCAGTAAACTATTTTACTCATGTTTAATGGTAGGTGATCATTAATGCGGGAAATCTCATTATATCAGGTTTTCCATTGCAGATTACATTATCATGATTCATGACGTTTTCAAGGAAAACACAAAAYGCCATATAACTGGTGTTGGTAGTTTTATGTTTGAAATAACCTTGTTTAAAGTAACATTATTCTATTCAATCTATTCGTACGTATAGCTATCCTGCAATTGTGTGTAATTATATAGTCGGCCGATAGCTGGTTTGGTTTTTTGGCGCCCGCGGCCTCAAGTCG